GGATCCCCATCTGCTGTCACAGGAGGGGGAGTGTGCAGTTAATGGAACATGTTACACCAAAATACAAGTGTAACATTTTCCAAAGGTGAACTTATTCTTATGGCTACATTCACACCTTTTTTACGTTTTCAAGCATTTTTTCAAGTTTTTTTTTTTTAAAACGTTTTTAAGCATTTTTGGAAAAGAAGGGAAACATTCCTGATTAGAAGCCAACATCCTCAATATAACAATTGGAAAAAAGGAGAGACCCCCCTGACACTGGGACTATAAAGGCTTAGAAAGTACTAGAAGTATTAAAAAAAAAGAAGTACAAATTTTATTTGTCAAAAAAGGTGATAACACAAAAACATACAAAACATCATACAGAGTCATAATAAAGTATCACAATCAGAAAATGAAAGTACATGATAAGGATACCCAGTATGACTGTGTTTGACTGGTCATAAAAATATATGAATTGGTATCATCATAGATGTATCAAAGCTGCAGAGATACCAATATAATTGTTCCAACGCGTTTCAGAGTGAATCCACTCCTTCCTCGGGGAAAAGAGAAGAACCCTTTTGGTCAATATTGATGGCAGTCTGGCTAGAAAACTGTATCGCAAACCTACAGCGGGTAATATCATACTGCATGCTACTAGTTTCCATCCTAAGGCTTTAATCTCGTCCATCCGATAAAGTCAATATTTAAAGAGAAGAAATTGCTCTGAGGAGCAAGCCTTCAAAATGAAGGCTGATGTGCTTCATGATAGATTGCTGGAGAGGGGATATACAAAATCATGTTTAAAAAAAAAAAGCCTATAAAAACGCACCTACAGTAAAAGTAGGAGTGATCTTTTATACAAAAACCAGAACAAAATAGTATCAGACAACCAAACTAGAATCATCATGAAATTCTCTAATCAGCACAATCAAATTAAGAATGTGATCCAAAAGTATTGGCACCTATTAACGATAGATGCACTAATAGGGAAATTTGTATCTTCTACTCTTCAGATTACCTTCAGGAGAGCGACATCCATTAGAGACCTATCACATGTAGTGAATATCATGGCGACTCGGCAAAAGATCTGTGCAAATTAAAGGGTACTTTCTGTTGTGGTAATTGCACTTACTTCAAGTATTTGCACACGGAAGTACAATGCAAACTACCCGATGCGGCTTTGTGCAAACCCAACCTGTCGTACCGCTGGGGTAATATATCTGTTATCTTGTGAATGTGGTTGTTTCTATGTGGGGAAGACTATGTTGGAATTCTGGAGATGTGCATATAGACACATTAAAAGCATGTGTACAGGCGATCCTGAGTTACCTTTTGGATGTCATGCTCTGAATGTACATAATGGACATTTTCCCCAAAATAAAATTTCTTATGCTAGACCGGGTACATCCAGGACGTAGGGGGGTGACTAGATCAAACTGTTGTTGCAGTTAGAACTTAGGTGGATTTTCCATCTACAAGCTACCCCCCCCCCCCCCCAGTCTGAATGAATAAGTCAATTTTTGTCCCTTTTTACAAGGTTTTACATCTGGAGGCATGGAAAAGTGAATTATATTTCATGTCTCCTATTTGTCCTACAATGTCTCTTTTGGGACTATATTGTTAGAAGGCATATACCCCATATATTTGTGCTGTATCCCAGTTTTCAATATCCATGTATTTCACTTGGCCTGTATTAATATTACAATATGCATGTTATTGTTAATTGTACAGCACTTTGCTTTATTTTGCTCTAGATCACGGATGTCAAACTGGTGGCCCTCCAGCTGTTGCCAAACTACAAGTCCCATGAGGCTTTGCAAGATTGACAGCTACAAGCATGACTCCCAAAGGCAGAAGCATGATGGGACTTGTAGTTTTGCAACAGCTGGAGGCGGTCTGCCGATGCGGGGCGTCATTCCGCAGTCAGGGTGGGGTGATGTCACGCACAGACGTTCCGGGTGGCGGTTCCCAGTGACGTCCATGCTTTTGCAGCATGGGTCCGGCGTCTTGCCATCTTGGATCCCTGTGGCACAGCTGGACGCCATCACTGCTCTAATTAGGCTCCTATATCACAGGGAGCCTCTCTCCTGTTCTCTGATAATCCTCGTTCTCTGTGAGCTGACACACACGGTCTTTGACACGCTGCAGGTTTCTTTCCTTTTTTGTATAGGTTGGAGAGCAGTATCCCTATGGGTTTTGGTAAGCCACATTGCGGCCATGTTGGTTAGCCCTTTTTAGGGTACTGCATACATGTGAAAGCACTATATCCAGGGCTGTTTGGTAAGCCTTTCTTGGTTTCCTTCTTTTGGGCACTTTTTTCTATCCTTGGGACCTAACGGGCTTGTGGTGAAATCTTTAAGTAGATCTATATATTTATATAGTCCTTTTTTCCCCATTATAGTTACATTGATGGGATTAATGGTGGAATGTGACATATTTGTGTTTTAAACCCGATATATTTACTGTGTTAATACTAATACAATAAGACCTGGATACTGACACATTTCATGGTGTGTTTTTCATCCATTATTATAAGTTGGTGGACACATTCTGTGTTCCTATCTCACTCACACACACACACACTGCCCTGTGGTGTGGTCGTAGTGATTTGTATCCTTTTTTTGGACATATTTGTCCTTGAAGCCCCGCATTACATTATGTTTATTGTGCGAATACAAAGAGGAAATGCAGAATCTTGATTTTTAACACTCTATGATGGGTTTCTATGTTTTCCATTTCTCTCTATATGCTGTCGGACATAGTATGTGGTCTTATGACTTGTTTACATAGACCGTATTTTTCGCCATATAAGACCGGAATATAAGACGCACCCAATTTTAAAGGAGGAAAATCTAGAAAAAAAAATATTCTGAACCCAATACATATAGTAATTCATCCCCCATAGTAATGCATCCCCCATATAGTAATTCATCCCCCATATAGTAATTCATCCCCCATATAGTAATTCATCCCCCATAGTAATTCATCCCCCCTATAGTAATTCATCTCCCATAGTAATTCATCCCCCATAGTAATTCATCCCCCATAGTAGTAATTCATCCCCCATAGTAATTCATCCCCATATAGTAATTCATCCCCCATATAGTAATTCATCCCCCATATAGTAATTCATCCCCCATATAGTAATTCATCCCCCATATAGTAATTCATCCCCCATATAGCAATTCATCCCCCATATAGCAATTCATCCCCCATAGTAATTCATCCCCCATAGTAATTCATCTCCCATAGTAATTCATCTCCCATAGTAATTCATCCCCCATAGTAATTCATCCCCCATATAGTAATTCATCCCCCATAGTAATTCATCCCCCATAGTAATTCATCCCCCATAGTAATTCAATCCCCCATAGTAATTCAATCCCCCATATAGTAATTCATGCCCCAATTAGAAATTCATCCCCCCATATAGTAATTCATCCCCCCTATAGTAATTCATCCCCCCTATAGTAATTCATTCCCCATATTGTGTCAATTCACTTACCTTTGCTCCGCGCGTTCCTCTCGCCATGTTCCCGCGCCGTTCCGGTCTCCAGGGCTGATCCACGAGCAGAGGGGGTGATGAGGTCAGCGCGCACCGCCGGGTGTACTAAGATGGCCGACCGCTCCAGAGATAGGCCAAAGCCGCGGCCTTTCCTACGGCCGTGGCCGCGCCTGACGGATTCTCTCTCTATTCGTCGTATAAGACGCACCAACTTTTCCCCCCCAGTTTTGGGGAAGAAAAAGTGCGTCTTATACGGCGAAAAATACGGTAGCTATTTTTTGCAACGTTCTGTGGTGTGGCCGTAGTAATCTATAGTTCCAATTGGGCATATTCGCCTTGAAGCACTTTACTTTACTCACTGTGTCAACATGAAGAGGATATAGAATCAGCTTTGGACATTGAGATATTTTATGGTGGGTTGTTCATGTCTTTTAAATAACATATGCTGTTGGACACAGTACGTGTGTTTATGACTTACGTTTATAGTCATTCATTGCAGTTTTTCGTGGTGTGGCCGTAGCAACTTGAACCTCCTCCCCCTTTTCTTTGGGGGTGTCTCTTACGAATTTCCACCAAATACAACTTTGAGGTGGTGTGTGCTGACTTGGAGGTCTATACACTTTATGGTGGGCCCCTGTTTTACAAACGAATATGACACCTTAGTGTGATATATAGCATGTTTTCAATTACTCATATAGTCATCTATGGCAGTGACCTGGGATGCCCTTGTGATTCAAGGCCTTTTGTGGGGGGTTCTGCTGTCCCGGTTCGTTCGGCCCGCAGCTTTATGCGGCAACATTTCTGAAGCATTTATGTCTTTTCACTAATTATCCACTTTGCATTTTCATATACTGTAAGTATATCTACTGATTACAAGGTATTATACGTTGTTACGGATATGAGACATGTTCCAAACAAATATGTTTAATCTTGTAGATGATGTCACCCATATGCAGAGTTCTCTTTTCCCTGAGGAAGGAGTGGAATCACTCTGAAATGCGTTGGAACAATTAGATTAGTATCTCTGCAGCTTTGTTGCATCTATGATGATACCAATTTGTATCTTTTATGACCAGTCAAACAGTCATACTAGGTATCCTTATGCAATTTCATTTTCTGATTGTGATGCTTTATTATGACTCTGTATGATGTATTGTTTTGCTTGTTTTTGTGTTATTACCTTTTTTGACAAAATGTGTACTTTTTTAATACTTCTAGTGCCTTCTAAGCCCCAGTGTCAGGGGGTCTCTCCTTTTTCTAATTGAGTATTTTTTGGAGCAGAATTGCAAATTTTTTGCAGCTTTTGTCTGGTGTGGAGTGCTGTTGTGATATGCTCACATACTTCAAGCATCTTCCACGTGCACAGTTTTGTTCTTCTCCACCTGAAATCATAGAACTGGTACTCATTCAGCTGGTGGGTGACTATAATTTAAAGTGGCTGTCAAAGTTTTGCTTCCCCTCTCCTCCCCCAGCCTTCTGATTGCCAAGCCATAAGCTCCTGTGGTCTCACCCAGTTGTCAGTGCGCTCAGCCCTCCGATGCAGTTGCCTCTCGAGCTCTTCTCCCTGTCCTCCAGGCCGCAGGAACTCTTCTACAAGCTCCCGGGTACTCGCCAGCTCCTCATCACTGACCAGAGGCTGGAGAGAGCGTAGGTAGCGGGACAGGGTTTTCTGCAGATCGGGGACCGGCTGTCGTGGGAGTGAAGTGGGAGAGCTATACCTGCGGAGAGAATGGAGGAAGACCTGGTGGGGAGGAGAGCAAGAATTAGATGAATTTGAAGATGTCAGGAGTTAAAGAGCACAAGATATCCTTATCCAGACGGTCTCAGAAAGATGAGCACTACTATACAGTGAGCCCCTATTCACACCTGAGATGAACAATTTTCAGAGGATTTGGAAGTCCCAAATCAGAACACAACACCAACAGTTTGAGGGTTCATTGACCCTCCTTATCATAGTGACAGAGTAGAGATGCGACTTATTTTCAAGACCTGTGTAGTCTTGAAAATTTGGTGTTTTGTACCAATATGGGATACCAGTAAATGGTTACTCTGGATGACAATTTGGCATTTCGTTTTTGGATTTTTGTTTTTTAAAAACAGGCATTTTGACTCTTGCCAGCTTTTAAAAAAGAACTTTATCAAGGGGCCACATGTAATATTTAATATACAGTATATGATGCTACATAAGATTTCTGACTTACTACAGGAGATGGTGAAAGTCGGGGGACATGCTGCGGGCCATGGGCCAGCCGCCGGGGGACATGCTGCGGGCCATGGGCCAGCCGCCGGGGGACATGCTGCGGGCCATGGGCCAGCCGCCGGGGGACATGCTGCGGGCCATGGGCCAGCCGCCGGGGGACATGCTGCGGGCCATGGGCCAGCCGCCGGGGGACATGCTGCGGGCCATGGGCCAGCCGCCGGGAGACATGCTGCGGGCCATGGGCCAGCCGCCGGGAGACATGCTGCGGGCCATGGGCCAGCCGCCGGGAGACATGCTGCGGGCCATGGGCCAGCCGCCGGGAGACATGCTGCGGGCCACGGGCCAGCCCGCGGGAGACATGCTGCGGGCCACGGGCCAGCCGCCGGGAGACATGCTGCGGGCCACGGGCCAGCCGCCGGGAGACATGCTGCGGGCCACGGGCCAGCCGCCGGGAGACATGCTGCGGGCCACGGGCCAGCCGCCGGGAGACATGCTGCGGGCCACGGGCCAGCCGCCGGGGGACATGCTGCGGGCCACGGGCCAGCCGCCGGGGGACATGCTGTAGGAGCGGTTGGAGACTGGGGACATGCCACAGGAGACAGAGACTGGTGACATTTTACATGAGACTGCGACAGATCATTGCTATTACACTCCCTCCACAAATCAATGCTCTCACTACTGACTGAGGGGGCCTGAAGGAGGCACAAAAGGAACCAAAGGGCTACAAGTGACTACCCTTGGCCCTCATGTAGGTTGAGCACTAGTGTCTAGCGCACAATCTGATCCAGGCAAATACTTCTAAATCCAGTGGGAAACTACAATTTGGAAATATCAGCATTCACCAGACCAGCGAGAAGACAGACACAAAGTGCAAATTGAAGCGTATGACTGGTGACACCGTTTTATAAATGCTGCAAATAGATACACAGAATCAGCTGAAAAGAGAAAAAAATACCACACGCGACACATTATCCATATACTGCTACATTATGACCAGACTGAACCGCAGCAGCTGGTATGTTGTGGTTGGCACATGGGCGTTTTTGTTCTTTCCCAGGTAGTTTTGCTGTGCACTGTGTTCGGAACGCTCAGCGGGAGGGGAGAGTACTGTACTGAACAATGTAATTATGGGGACAGGTGCTGAATGCGGCTGAATTATGTTCGGTTTTCTTCACCAGCGTCCCTCAGAAGTCTCCCGTGAGAATGTAGAGAAGTGATTGGCTCTCACAGCGTTTGGTCATGGCACTGCTACTCAGGAACATATCATAATATCGCCTGTGTAAATAATCTGGCATGACTGCCTGCTGTCCCTCCACCAGATAGAATGAACTACAAATTCCAGAATATACAGGCTTTTGTTTGCGTCTAAACAGTTGCTCTTTTTCTTATAAGGCCTCATGCACATAGGACATTAAAAAACCAAAACAAAACCTCTCTTAGAAGCCGTCCTCCAGGCAGTATTGTTTTTGCAGAAAAAAACGCTTGAAGCTTTAGATACTTTTACAAGCGTTTAGGCGCGTTTACAAGCGTTCGGGCATTAATTCAATTTAGTGGTCAGAATAAATTAACACTCGCCAAATGCGTCTAGTATTTAGGTGCGTCTGCCACGTGTAGACGCGTCAACTGTTTTTTTTCTGTCAAAACTCCTAGACACACTGGCCCTGGGTTTTTTTTCCTGCTTTTAAATGCTACAGCTACTAAAAGTCTGTGTGTATGGACACATAGGATAACATGGAGGGCTGTTTGGAAGCAGTGTAAAAAAAAAAACCAAAATGCCTGATGCCCCTAAAAGTGGCTGCAAAAATGCTCTGTGTGCATGAGGTCTAAGGCTGGCCATACATGGGTCAAAATTCGACCGATTTTTCGGACCCAAGAATAATTGGCCAATTTTCGCTCTGTGGTGTGTCAATGGCACCGGCCGATTTTCGGGTTCCATTTCTTTTCGGTGATCAGGCATGTTGGAAAATTTGTGGAAAACGACCGGTGTTCGACTCAATGATGGTCAAATCGTACGATCATTTTTCGAAAAGAATATGCGCATGAGCCGTGACCTGGAAGGAACAGAAGTTTCGCCTGTTATATGGGGTGAACTTTATGACTTGGTCGGCCGATTTTCAAAATCATTGATGGCACCATCGGATTACCGAGCGAACGACATTTTCGATTTTTGGCCGAAAAATTGTTCGGAGTTCGAACCATGTATGACCTGCGTTAGTCAACGTGAATGAGAAAGCAGCTGGAAACAACTCAGCAGCAGGTCAAAGTCAGGGTTCACCTTATGAATCGCATAGGAGTGAGCACCGCACTGCTGTGCAATTTACATGCAATTCACTGTGGTGCGATTTGAGCCTATTCATTGTGAATGAGCTCAAATTGCACCAGAGTAGTACATGCACTACTTTTGGAAACGCACTGCATCTGGATCACATGGCGGTTTGGGTATCCCGCACCGCGTTCTAGTGTGAATCGGGGCTAAAGTAGAATTAAAGGCAAAAACTTTTTTTTTTTTTTTTTTTTTTTTTTTTTTAGATAGAGCAAGCCCTGGTTCACACTAGTCAACACACTCCTCACCCAGGCAGCCATGGATGGCCTTCACCATCCTCACGTACAATGCAGGACTGCCGGTCTTCCATTGAACGTCATGACATCGGAGTGCAACCTCCAGCCAGAGCGTTGCAGAGAACAGACGTGGAGGGACCATCACACAGCTTGGAGGAATGAGATCTATTCCTCGACCTCTAGACTTAATGAGTATATAACCCTTGCAGTGCAGGTGGGCCCAAGGGGATATTTACCCCAAAGTAAACAAGGAATTTTCCTTGGTAGGCATTTTTTTTGGGGGGGGGGGGGGTTGCGCCCCCCCCCCCGGCAGCAGTGGCATCTCTATCATACATCCCGAGGCCGGTGTTTGAGCCGCAGCATGGAGTGGGGGGTGACGAATCAAGCGGAGGAAGGCCGCATCAGGCAGGAGGGCATTGGTGTCCATCGCAGGGTGTACACGGGATCTGGTGGGTTGGATGTGGGACACTCATCCCATCCTTGCGGGCACACCCTGGGTATGTGTTGGGGATGGGGAGCACCGGCTGCTAATAAATAAATAAATCGGAATTTCCTTTGTGCCAGCGGGTCTTTTTTTGGGCATATCATCTGCACAGCTGGGAGATCCAGGTGACAACAGGGACGAAACCAGGCTGGGAGGATTCATGAGAGACTGGCTGAATGTTAGCCAAGGTGGATGGTGAGCCAAACAGGTAGGTGGGGCATTTTCCTGCCCTTGGATACTGCCTTATACTATTCATATTTCTCTCCCTCTCCCTCAATACACCACTAGGTGGGCCCGCTGCAAGGTTTTTTTTTTTTAATGCCAGTTTTTCCATGTATTATAAACGACTGCCATTTTCCCTGTGTGCCTCCACCCTTTCAGTGCTGCTGGCTTCCCTCCTCTCCTCCCCACGGCAGCTGCAGTTACGCAAAAGGATCCTTAAGAATGCAGAGTGGGGGAAAGGTCTGGTAAATATGTCACATATACCAGCCCCTTCCTTTCCTGAATGAACACAAGTGATTGGTACCAATCATCACTGTTCATAACTGAAGCAAAGTAAACAGTTTTTTTATTTTTTCGAGGGGGCCCTGTCAGGTTGGCTGTATGGGTCCACATGGTTTCTAGCAGAAGCCCTGCACACACAAGCTGCCACTGGACACCGGACCGGAGCAGCTTCAGAATAGATTTAGAATAGGGATGGGAGTAGGTTTAGCCTTATGCAGGCCATACATGGGTCGAATTCCAAACAAATCTTCTTTAGAAAATTGGAAATTTTGTGTGTTTTGTAACCCAATCATGCCGCCATTGATTTCGAAAATCAACCACCAAGCCTTCAATTGCACCTCTTGTTGTTACAGAAAATTTTATCCTTGGCAAAGAATTGTCTTTTCTTTCCAGGTCACACTCACGCTCATTTCTTTTTTGTTTATATTTCTCGCACAATTCTCCCATCATTGATTTGAAATTCGATCATTTTTCAAAAATTTTCCAACATGCCCGATCACTCAAATTCGATGGTCAACGAAAATCAGCCGTTTCTGTGAACCACGAATGGTGCGAAATTCGAACGAAAAGTCTTAGAAAAGATTATCGAAAGAAAATTATTTTGCAACTCGCCCTGTGTATGGCCGGCTTTAGTTATCGATTGACTGGAATTCCACTTTAAGGCTCCCTATGGCAGGATCACCAGGTATTATTTTGACGAAAGTTGCAGATTTGAAACGATAGAAACAATTTTTGAAATTATATTACTAAACTAATGCAAGCCCCCAGGGCATCCTTCTAGGGAGCAGGCCCAAATCAGCAGAACTACAAATACCAGCATGCCTTTGGGGTGCTGCAGGTTGCCCAGAAATCTTATTTTGCATTCCATCCCCTTTTAGGTTACTGAATACCAAAGCAGTAAAGGCAATGGGCGCTGTAACCAATAGCAACCAGAGCCAGGTTAGTAAATAACTCAGCAGTACAAGGCAGTGGGCGCTGTAACCAATAGCAACCGAAGCCGGGTTAGTAAATAACTCAGCAGACAAGGCAGTGGGCGCTGTAACCAATAGCAACCAGAGCCGGGTTAGTAAATAACTCAGCAGACAAGGCAGTGGGCGCTGTAACCAATAGCAACCAGAGCCGGGTTAGTAAATAACTCAGCAGACAAGGCAGTGGGCGCTGTAACCAATAGCAACCAGAGCCGGGTAAATTAGTAAATAACTCAGCAGACAAGGCAATGTGTGCTGTAACCAATAGCAACCAGAGCCGGGTTAGTAAATAACACAGCAGACAAGGCAATGTGCGCTGTAACCAATAACAACCAGAGCCAGGTTAGTAAATAACACAGCAGTAAAGGCAATGGGCGCTGTAACCAATAGCAACCAGAGCCAGGTTAGCAAATAACACAGCAGACAAGGCAACGGAATGCTGTAACCAATGGCAACCAGAGCCATGTTATTCAATGAAACAGCGGAGAAGGCAACGGGATGCTGTAACCGATAGCAACCACAGCCTGGTTAGTAAATAACACAGCAGGAAAGGCAATGGGATGCTGTAACCCATGGCAACCAAAGCACAGCTTTTAAGTAGCAAGTTTGGATCTGATTGGTTGCTAGGAGCTCATATACCATCGCAATGCTGAGTTGCTGGATTCGCTGAGGGCCTGAACGCTGCACAGCGCCTGCGTGCAAACTTTGCACAGGCTGCAGACTGTCACACCTCCCATGAATGCTCTGCAGCACATCAAAGCCAAGCACCCAGCTAATCTGAAGTGACGTGCCGCCGCAGCAGATGGCTGGGTGCAATGCTCTGCTCTTCAGTAGTAGGAGGGGGGGGATAAAAGTTGCAATGCTCTGCAGGTGGGTGTTTAAAGCACAAATAAAAAGCAATGAGGAAACCTTGCTGGATTCTCACCGTGGCCCTGAGTGGGGCTGCGTAGTACATCAGATTTCGGAGCATGATGCCAGCTGCCCCCCCCTCCCCTCCTGAACACAGACAGAGCTACCCCTGGGGGTAGTGGAGTACGCCTGGAAGTATTGCTGGAGGAGGGAAGGGCCTGGGTGTCATGGGAGGGACACAGCCACACTTCCTGCTGCCGGGTGGAGTCCCACGTGTTCAGAGTTTGTATACGTGTGGAGGAGCATAGAGGGGGGGCCGCGTCCTCCATATCAGAACTTCCAGGGTGACCATAGTGACAATACATCCCACAGATGTTCATGTGTTCAGAAAAACACTAGAATACAAACCATACACATAACAAACAGATCAGCCTAAAGGCCCATTTAGATCCATGCGTGTGCAGGGCATTCTTTATTTATTTTTTGTAACTTTAGGAAAGTGCGTTGTCATGCGACAATGGGCGTTTCTTTTGCGCGCTAACGTCTGAGCCAGGGATAGGTGGACCCTTATGGACATTTGCAAGCATTGCTTGCGCTTATCAAAATGGAAGCTGACAGAATCTGCGGCCATGCACGGCTACCATTCAGCTTCTATCTTTCATGTTCAGGGCCCGTTCACACCGGAAACCATGTGTTTTTGCAAGCGCATTGGCGTGCGTTTGACACATGTTTACATGCATTTGCGGTACATTTTTCCTAAGCATTTGCACGCATTTCCTTTGACGTTGCTTCCCTTCTTCTTTCGCCTTTGGGCTTTTGTGTGCACTGCATTGTGGTGCATTACTGTGCATTTTTTGCGGTACAAAAAATGCAGCGTTCTGTACTTTTTTCACTGCACTGTAATAGTGTAAACTCTGCCCATGTGATAGCCCGGATTTAGGACTTCAAAAACCCATCCCACTGCATCTCATGTGACCCTAGGTTCACACCTAAGCGTTTTCCACAGCGCTTTTCAGAAACGCACTACAGTCCAGTTAACATGAGTTCCTATGGGACAGGTTCACGTCTCTGCGTTTTCACCCAATGCGTTCTTTGGAAAGAGTCCGGTACTTTTTTAGACGCAAAAGTTGTGTTTTTGATTCTATAGACTTCAATGGAAAAGCTGCAGAAAAGCAGGTAGTGCGTTCTTGCCATGTTTTTGATGCATTTTTCATTTTAAATCTGCCTAGCAACAAGAAAAAAAATTGCAAAACGTGGCAAAAACACAATGCATTGCAGAAATGGATGGAATGCAAATTACATACGTGTGAACCTAGCCTGAATGAGTCTTCAAAGTTTCAAAGGCTCCATTCACACTTGTCATGCAGCTTTGGACACACAGGGGTTTGCTCACTAATGCCGGCCATAGACAGTTTGAAAATCGGCCAATTTTTCAGCCGGAAAAAAAAAATCGTCCGATGTTAGTGGGTTAATTGGTCGCCCGTTTTTCGGGTGTTTTGCACTTTGAGATTTTCGGTCATGTTGAAAAATTGGCAGCCGATTTTCCCGGCAATGATGGCCAAATCAGCCGATCGTTTTAGCGATAAAAAAATCTGCGCATGAGCTGTGACCTGCAAGGGACAGAAGTTATGGGGTGAACGTTATGATTTAGTCAGCTGATTTTTTTTTTAATCGTTGGTGGTAACGTCGGCCGAACGAACGACTTTTTGTTTATCGTTTGACCTGTCTATGGCCTGCATTGGAGAGTGCTTAATCAGGCTCACTTCTGCATAGAAACCAATCAGCTTCCAGGTGTTATTACCAAAGCTTAATTGAACAAGCTGAGGTTAGAAGCTGATTGGCTGCAGAAGTGAGTCCAATTTTGCACCCTTCAGTTTTAGTAAATGAACCCCATAAAGTCGCTTGTCAAGTCACAGCCGATGTATTTCAATGGAATCCATTCAAATCTACGCAACTAAAAAATGCAGCAACTTTAAAAAAGGTTCCTGATCTACGTTGATGCAACTTTAATGCCATAGACTGCAATGTAAATTTTCAAAAGTCGCATGAAAGTCTCATCCTAAAGTTATCAACAGTTGTGAAACAGTCAACAGCAGGGGCGGACTGACCATTTGGAAACTCGGGCACTGCCCAAGGGCCCGGGGTCAGTAGGGGGCCCCATGAGATGCCCCTGGTACCTTTTTCATAGGTTTTTTTGAGCTTGGGCAAAGACACAAAGGCTCCATGATCCCCTATTGCCCAGGGGCCCCATGAGTTGTCAGTCCGCCCCTAGTCAACAGCCACAGTCGTATCCAAGTCACATCCTTCCAAAGTTGCATCAAAGTTACAAAGTAAAGTCGCAATGGAAATCGCATGATTTTGGAGTCGCTCAAGTGTGAACGAAGCCTAGGGCTGCTTTCGCACTGCTCCTTGTTAAAAATGCTGTAAAAAACGCATATGTTTTTTTGCCCCATTTTTGCTGCATTTTTCTCGTGTTTTCCAGTGTGTTTTCTGGTGTGACATCACCATGCACCTATGAAACATGGATATGTGACTCAAAAAAAGCACCAAAAACCCAACTGTAGGTGCATTTGTTATGCATTTTTAATGCATTTCTTTGGGAGGAAAGTTTTTGGTGCAGTTTTAAAAAACATGCGCCAAAAATGCAGCAAACTGGACTTTAAAACATGCAACTGATTGTTGTGAAGAGTTCCATAGGATTCAATGGTCATGCATTTTTCTTCCACTTTTTGTAACGCAAAAACAGAGGAAAAACTGATCAGTGTGAAAGCAGCCTAATGCAGGCCATAGACGGGTTGAACATCGGGCGATTTTTCGAACGATAAACGAAAAATCGGTCATCATTCATTTGGCCGACATTACCACCAATGGTTCAAAAAATCGCCCAACTAAATCATAAAGTTCACCCCATAACTTCTGTCCCTTGCAGGTCACGGCTCAGGCGCTGATTTTTTTTATCGTTAAAACGATGATTGGCCGATTTGGCCATCATTGCCAGGAAAATCGGTTGATCGTCCAAATCGGCTGCAAATTTTCCAACATGACCGATAATCTCAAAGTGCAAAAAACCCGAAAAACTGCCAACCAATTAACCCACTAACAGTGCAAAAAACGGATTTTTTTTTTTTTTTTTTTTTTTTTCCGGCCCAAAAAATCGGCCAATTTTTTAACCGTCTATGGCCGGCATAAGACTAGGTTCACACCTATGCAGTTTGCGTTTGATCCGTTTCTGCAGTGCTTTTTGCAGTGTTTTGTGTTTTTGCACATTCGTTTTTGGCGCATTTTTTGCTTCTTTTTTTTTTTTTTCAACTTGTTGCTAGGCAGATTAAAATACTACCTGCATTTCTGCAGAGTCTCCATTGAAGTCTATTGAACAAAAAACTAAACGTTTTGCGTTGATAAAAGTCCCTGATCCTCTGAAAACGCAGAGACTGTATGTGAACCTGTCCCGTAGGAAAACATGTTAAATGGACTGTAGTACATTTTTGCAAAACGCACCGCAAAAACGCATAGGTGTGAACCTGTCCCATAGGAAAACATGTTAAATGGACTGTAGTGCATTTCTGCAAAAACGCACCGCAAAACGCTTAGGTGTGAACCTAGACAAAAGCAGAACCAAAGTTCTGCTGTCACAAACGCGAGCAGGCAGGCTCTTTATTGTAGAATAGGAATGCAATGCATGAGCAACTCGGCTTACGTCCCCAGCACGGACCATGCGTACCGGGATGATTGACCCCTGCGCATGTGCAAGAGTGACATCATCCTGGGCCAGCCAATGAAGATGGTGACACCAGCAAAGTGAGGACTGGCAGAAATGGTGACACCCACGAAGGGCAGAGACCGTTGAAGCTAAGGTAAGCTTTGCTTTGCTTTAGGCTTTGTTCACACTTGTGCGACTCCGAAGATTTCCAATGTGACTTTGATGCGACTTTGATGTGAATTTTGATACGACTTTACACTCTCTGGCACTCAATTCACATCAAAGTAGTGCAGGAACCTCTTCAGAGTCGCCGAGACTTTAAGTCACATAGATGTGAATGGGGCCATTGAAAACAATGAGCTGTGACCAGTCATTCTGCGACTGTATGTGTCCAAAGTTGCATGGCAAGTCGTCAGACCATTGCAACTAAGGAAGTATTGTTGCCTTTCAGTTCTACCTTAAAGTAGATCTAAGCTCCCAAAAATACTCTCCTCCACCTTGTCATCCCGCACATGTGCACAGGAGTCAGCCATTCCGGCACAGCCAGAGTGTGGTGGAAATACACACTGATCTGTGCAGCTCAGCGGTACCGCCTGTCAACTTTGCCCATTGAGATCCATGCAATCCATGTAATTGTGGTGCGGTAGAGCAACATTTACAGAGTTCAATTAGGCTGTTAGGGAAGAGGCAATATAATATAATGCCTCCTCGATATCGTTTAAATGCCCTCTGAAAAGCAATCAAAACACAGATCACTCTTCAGAGGGCACCACGAGTGTGAAAGAGCCCTTTCTGAGCTTCTCATTTGACATTTACCTGGAATTAATTTTTCACTTGTCCTTTACCCTGTACTTGCTTGCTCTTCCATATTGCTATCATAGACTTTCACATACAGACGTGTAGGTTCTCCAATTGATGGTTGCCTGCCAGACAAGTGCAAGTACTATGCTGGCTGAGGCACTGGTCACATCTTTGCACAGTATAATGAGCGCTTTCATGTGCCCACATGTTCTGTGTACTGTGAGAGACCAGATATAGTGAATGCAGGGTCCTGGGAGACCAGATATAGTGAATGCAGGGTCCGGGGAGACCGGATATAGTGAATGCAGGGTCGGGGAGACCGGATATAGTGAATGCAGGGTCCGGGGAGACCAGATATAGTGAATGCAGGGTCCGGGGAGACCGGATATAGTGAATGCAGGGTCCTGGGAGACCAGATATAGTGAATGCAGGGTATGGGGAGACCAGATAGAGTGAATGCAGGGTCCGGGGGAGACCAGATATAGTGAATGCAGGGTCCTGGGAGAGCAGATATAGTGAATGCAGGGTCCTGGGAGAGCAGATATAGTGAATGCAGGGTCCTGGAGAGCAGATATAGTGAATGCAGGGTCCGGGGAGAGCAGATATAGTGAATGCAGGGT